TTCTCTTCCAAGCCTCTGTCGCCTCGTCTACTACACTTCTTCAGCTCTGCTGCGCCTTCTTCTTCCCTCTGACTTCTACCCAATGATTTGCTTGGAAATTCTCCAATTCTCGTATCTCCAATTTTTCGTGCATGTCCGAAGCAAATCAGTTATTGGTCTTCATCTTCCATTGTGTCTTACGTTCATAGTTTCTCATCTCATGTGACTATTTATTTTTGTGAAGATAGTTGGATTTTTGTTCGGTGCATCGTTTAATTTCTCGTCCCTTATTCAATTCCAGGTTTCAACTCTTCCGTTCGCCATTAGTTAGTCATGTAATCTCAAAGTAGCAACTCAATAATAGACAATCCAGTGATCCGACAAGGATCTTCAAGCTTGATGTTTCTAGCAACATTGAAAAAATCTCATCCTTGATCGCTCAGTTGAATATTAATTGTCCAATTCGGGGGCACGTACAACAAACAAAACCTTTGTTTTGTTGTTATTTCATTTTAAATTCTATAAGTCTATACAAGTATTTTTCGCAATAGGCAATTAATGCCTATTATTTTCGATATCAGAATAGCCACAGGGATCAAAAGTATATACATATCGTGACCTGTGTGTCATCAAAACATGAATGTATTAGTGCATTTTCATGCCGAAAACCAGACTTGGTAGGTATCAACCCACATCATGCAGCCTTAGACGACACTGAACTGAAGACTAGCTTACAGGTATCAGATCGTCAAATGTCGATGGGAATTTAAGAACGGAACCCGCTTAGAATACCCTATGAGACCTACATTGGAGAAAGCTGTGAGGGAGTGACTATGCATGTCATTCTAGTTCTGGAGGTCTCGACCTGGTTATCACACCTGCAAATCTCAACCGTTTCCATAAAACTAAGGCATCCAGAGATTTTTTTACAGATGCCATAAAGCAAAATTTCACAACTCTTCGTAACTGATTTCCATTTTGTAATGTAATGGTAATGCCGCGACAAATAGATCTTGAGCCACTATGCTGCGGGCATACTTATTCGAGTAGTAGGGATCCCGGAATTCGATACATTTTCTCGCTATAAGTATTTGAGAATGGAAGAAATGGTATAAAATTGAAATATTCGCATGGACTTGAATCTGTATTTTCACTAAAGAAGTTATTACATGTGTCCTGGAATTTGTTTGTACTTCAAGTCTATACAAAACATGGCCACAAAACATTATCAGTTCTTGCACACCCTGAAAATGCAACTGTACGAACTGGCATTCAAAGCCAGAAAAAATAAACAAGTTCTCTCGGAGATGGCGAGCTTATGCATTGCAAAGCCTGGATTAAAGTTTTTTGCCACCGTCGTCTGTGGCTCGGTAACACGGTTTTCGCGTTCCTTAGTTTTCTTGGTAATAATCTACTAAATATGCAAATGCTAGATCCACATAGAACAGCTTAGCGTTGGAAGGACAAAATAATGCGGTGTGCATTTCTATCAAATTTGGGATTGCGGATTTAGATAGTATTACGAATATTTAGCAAGAATTTATTAAATAACAGTTCATTGTTTGGTCCTCACTTCGGGGTAGAAAAGGGGATTTTTAATTAAGTCCATAATATCATCGTATCAAAAAAAACGTTTCATCTCGAAACTTTTACCTAACAACTAATATTTTTTTCTGTCCATTAGTCCGAAGTTAGTCGATCTATCATCCGTTGGACAGGCTGCGGCTAACGGCTAGTTTAATCTTTGCTAATTTACCGTCTGACGTGGAGACTACGATCCAGCTCTATCAATCCTGCTATCGGCGTAGATAAAGTCACTTTTTTGCCCTCCCCGGTCATGTGAGAATGAAAAATGAATGATTGCCACAGATAAAAATTCAGTCAGCGGCTAATTTCGTTTTTATTTTTACTGTTTGTATGCTAAAAGAAACAATTTTTTGATTTATCAATATGAAATATAGATTTCTGTATGGTTCTTGGAGCATTAGTTTTCAATAAATTTTAGCCAGGGGATGGATATTTAATGTCCCAATTTTAACCAACCTCTTTTTGTTGGTTGAATTTCATAATAATTATGAATAAATAGAAAAGTTGCTTTCAAGTGTATATTCATATCATAGCTAAACAATATTAATAGTCATAATAGGGTCTCATATAATGCCCTATCGTCCAGGGACACATTGCCTTAACCTAGAATATCCTAAGTACACATGTTTGAGGAACCAGATTAGATATGTAAACCTAAGGGATTGTCAGGCGGTTGAATTGAGACAGATATGTTGTGTGGATAAATATATATGTATATACAAGCAATAGTTGAGGTTCTGGTCTGCTCTATGGTTCAGGAAGGAATTTTTCTTTCACCAAGCCGAATTCGCGGCAATTGGCACAGGGCTACAAAAATACTATTATCTCATAAGTATTTGAAAATTGAATTCTATACTCTGGATCAAATAAAATGTTTCAAATTCCATTTCCTTGCAAGGTGAATGTCGGTATGCAGAAATTGTTTATATATAGTTCAAAGTTTCTCCATTCACTATTCAGTGAAATACCCAACCATTCAATAAAAAAAGAGCATTAGAAATATGTACTGGTTAAATATTTCCAAACTTAGTAGTATTCCTCAAGAACAATTTCTAGGAATATTTCAATAATTGTAATATGTAAAGGTATACCTATTTGATTTTTTTGTATGCTTTAGTATAGAGTTCAATTGTTAAATGGTGATAAAATCTTCACATAAGTACTTAGTTGTTGTGGCCCTGAAGGAGGCAGTAAATAATGCAAAAAGAAAGTTTCCTTCCTTAACCCACAACATCTCCAGAAATTAAACTATCATTTATTTTATCTCGATCAAAATATTCTGATGAAGATATACTTATGTATATGTAAATTTATCGAAATAATAATTTTGAGTTTTGGTTGTCTCTCCTATCATGATTGTCAACATTTTGGCTAAAAATATTCTTCTGTTCGGTTATTCATCTTATTTAAAATTTTATTAAATTTTTTTCAGCAAAAAACCAAGAAGATAAATGCTTCAATAAGAAAACCACAATGTTATCTTGAAGATAAACTCTCACTTATGTATTATCAAAAGCGTAAGCTAATCTCCATTATAGCTTTTCTCGTCGTCGCTTGTTTTATGTCGTAAGTATAACCAAACAGAAAAAAAGTCCAAACCAAACATTTTAAAATGTCGTCGCCGTTCGATTTTCTTCAGCTTTTTTGGTTAGTCGTCTTTATTTATGGACGCTTGTCATTGTATATGACAGCCAAATTGCGTCATTGTTTATTAAGGATAATAAGTGGGATGAAAGGCAAATTGTTTTCCAATGTTATTTTTTTCGAGCAATTGAGCAAAATAATAATTAATATTCAAATGAAACGATTACGATAGGTATCTACCGTTGTATTTGCGATTTAAAAAAAAATTGTTTTGAATTTATGAGATTGAATTTTATTGACATGCAAATAAACATATTTCACCAACAGTTTCTTCTTAAATATTTATGTTAGACGTAAAACCATGAAAGCCTTTCTTTCAAATCCGCAAAATATTTTTAGACAACAAATTCACGTCAAACGATCAGAACACTTGATGCCGCGTACGTGACGCCATATTCAAAATTGTTTTGTATTTGGGAAAATGATGATTTCCTCTCTCTGTATTATTTTTCTTAAAAAGAAAGAGCTCGAGTGAAACTCAAATTTGTAGCAAATACGAGGGTCGTGACTTCTGATATCGAACAGTTTATGATATTTGAGTTTTTAGGGTTTACAGGGGGAATAGTATTCGTTTAATGTAAAATGCAGTATTTCTATGATTTTTGTTTTTGCATTAAGGTGAACGACTTTGAATAGGGTATCGTTACACTCTGTAGTATAACATACCCGGGTTCGTTCATCAGGATTAAACGGTTTGAATTTTTACTACCTCTTCTTTTAACAAGCCTTCTGGAAAACGAAATGAAAAACAAATGCCTACGTTGTGGAAACTTACTCAAAATTAGGGAAATTTCAGGGAAGTTGTGATATGAAAAATAAATGAAAAATTTGTGAAACGTCTACTTTATTATTAAAGTAAATCGTACCATTCTCGATCTGGAACTAACGAGGGGAAAGAGCACGGCAGAAAAACCCTCGATCTAACATTCCTCAAAAATCAAAACATACTGTGTCATTGTGCTAAAATTTAAATTCCTCAACACTACCTATATTCAATACTGAAGAGTTTTTGTTAGTTAACCAGTTCCATCAGCACATACTGAGGTCCCGTACGGGATGCTACTCAACTATAGTTGTTATTTTGAGCGAATATCTGTAAATTGATTTTTCAATTTGTTTGCCAGGATATTCGCTTGTCAGAGTAAGAAAATGTTAGTAGATTCAACAAGGCCCTCATGTACGCTCTGAATACCAAAAATATCAAAATCCCAGCACCTAATTTTTCTAGGCTTTAATTTACTCTTTATCTGTGTTTTTCATAGCATGAAACGATTTTTGTTGAATATATGAACAATGTACATTTATAAAATATAGTATAAACAAACAAAAAAATATAAAAATGAAAAAAATAATACGTGTATAAATTGGACTCTCAAAAACAAATAACATTTATTCAACTGCTCCTTATGACACACAAACTAATCACAAATTGGATTGAACAATCAATTAAATCCAAACTAAAAATTAAATAATGAACAATGGCAGACAACTTTCTTCTCTCTGGTCTAGTCTCTCATTTTCTATCTCCCCTTCGGTACCTTTTTCCGTGGCGCGCCGCCGTTCCCATCAATTTCACAGCGCATACAAGGTTGCAACATTTACTATTTGTTTTTTTTTTTTATAGTTGTAGTATGATTGATAAGTCAGTCAGACAGTTGTCAACATTTTAGTCAAATAAAATAAATGTAAGTTGAATGGGGGAACAACTCAATATAATAAAAGTGTTTGAATAAAAATAAATATAAAACATGGCGCAGTCATAAAGGAAAGTGATCTGAAGCTCTCGCGAAATGGATTTGAAACCCCCAAACTTTAAAGCAGGTGAAGCCAATTCAGCTAACATCTGGCCAAAGTTGAGGCAGTCTTTTGAAGTGTTTTTAGCCGCTGCAGACCTGCAGAATGCTGATGAAAAACGAAAATGTTGTCTGTTGTTGCACTGCATAGGTCAGGAAGGCCTAGACATTTTCAACACACTGGAATTTAAATCAAATGAAGTGGACAAATTTGATGTTCTTATTGTTAAATTTGATAACTATTTTGTGCCCAAAATTAACGTAACTTACGAAAGGCACAAATTTTTTATGAGAAATCAAAAAACCGGAGAAAATTTCGAGAATTACGTGACCGAGCTTAAATCTCTATCCAACTCATGTGATTTTGGTAAATTGGAAGAGTCACTGATAAGAGATCGCTTGATTTGTGGGATTGAGCATTCCAAATTGAGAGAAAAACTTCTGACATAATCTAATTTAACTCTAAGTAAGTGCATTGACTTGTGTCGAGCTGCGCTCGTTACCGAGAGTCAAGTGAAAGAAATAGCAATGGAGTCACTTGCTATAAACAAAGTTGGTCAGAAAAGGCTGGGCTCAGGCACGACACACAGAATCAAGAAACCATAGAAAAGGGAAAAAGAATAAAACAATGTACAAGATGTGGATATACACACAAGGTAAATAAATGCCCAGCATACAATCAAACGTGCAGAAAATGTAGGTAACAAAATAAATCATTTTACTAAAATGTGCAAGCTAAAGCAAGTAAAGCAGCACTCAAGAAATTACCAATAATGAAGACTCAGATGAAGAAACAACAATTTTTATTGGTTCAGTAAATGGGGCCAGCACAGTAGTTGAAGAGTGGACTGAAGTAGTTCAAGTCAGCAAAGCACCCAAGGTATATATTAAATTTAAATTAGATACAGGGTCCCAAGCTAGCATAATTCCCAAAGCTATATTTGAACAAATTCCTAGAGCCAAATTATTTAAATCAAATAATAAATTAATAAATTACAATGGAACTCGCATTGGAAATTTGGGCAAATGTTCTCTGGACTGCATTGTCTCAAATAAACGAATGGCCAACTTAGACTTTCTTGTTGTAGATGCTGTAAATATTCCACCAATTTAAGGATTGGAACATTGTAAAAAGTTTGGGTCAAACAAAAGAATTAATTATGTGTGTTTAAATGATGTTTTATCACAATATCAGGATCTATTCACAGGTATTGGTTGCCTAAAACAAGAGCATACCATTATTTTGAAAGAAAATGCTGCACCAGTTGCATTCAATGCTCGTAAAATTCCACTATCTATTAAAGAGGCAGTACGAGCTGAATTAAACAGGCTAGAGAAATTAAAAATAATTGAATAAGTGTCTGAGCCTACAGAATCGGTTCATCCATTGGTTACTGTCAGAAAATCAAATGGCAAAATTAGATTGTACCTAGATCCTAAGAATTTAAATCAAGTTATCAAGAGAGAATATTATCAAATTCCCACAATAGAAGAAATGCTAGCTCAATTGTCGGGAGCCACAGTTTTTAGCTTGCTCGATGCAAATCAAGGCTTTTACCAGATACCTCTGGATAAATCTAGTAAAAAACTGTGTACTTTTGCAACACCTTTTGGCAGATATATGTTCTCTAGGCTGCCATTTGGTATAGCTTCAGCACCAGAAGTGTTTCAAAAGCAATTCAAACAAATTTTTGAGGGGTTAAACGGTCAAATGTCCTTTATAGATGACTTGTTAATTTGATAAGAAAGATCCGTACCTTTGTCTTCTGGAATACCGAAACACACCCATCGACCATGACATTCCATCGCCAGCTACTCTGTTGTTTAACAGGAAAGTTAAGAGCCTTTTGCCCGAATTTAATATTTTTTGCAGAAAAGATAATTCTTATAATAATTAGTTTAAAATTAGACAAAATAAACAAAAGTTGAATTTTGATTCACATGCAAGAAATTTACCAGAACTTAGTGATGGTGAAGGGGTAAGAGTGCAAAGATTGGATAAATCCGAGTAGACACCCGGTAAAGGTATAAGAAGATTGGAAAAACCGAGGACTTATTTAGTGGGACTTGATAATGGTCGTGTGCTGGAAAGAAACAGAAAATACCTCATTAAAGATTGTGTAAACAAAGAAATCCCTGAACTAAAAAGTAAACCAAAGACTCTTGAAAATAATAGACCGAAACGTGACGCACGTCAGCCACATAAATTGTCTGATTACGTAAGTTAACTTATAAATTATGTTTTGTAAATAATATTTAACTTAGGTCTTAGATTTTGTGAACTAGCTTAAGTTTAGCTGAAAGAAAGAGATGTAGTGGAATGATAAGTCAGTCAGACAGTTGTCAACATTTTAGTCAAATAAATGTAAGTTGTATGGAATAACTTAATGTAATAAAAGTTATTAAATAAGAACGTTAAATATAAAACAATAGTAAACGTTTTTAAAGAGTTAAGATTTGAAGAAATAATATTTTAAATAGGTGGTTTTCCTCAACTCCAAGAAGGATCACACACCAAACACCTTTTTGTAAAGGTTTTTCACCTTCAAGCCATTTATAGTTTTTAAACTTTTTATCAAAATTTTGACAAGGAAGTAATCGATTATAGCCTAAAGCCCATGAAAATTATTATGTTCATGTAATTTGTGCGTTTTCTTCTCTCTAGATGGCAGCGGGGTCAATGGCCTAGTTCAGAAAAAAAATCAAGAGCATATTTTATTCGTAATTTGCACTGATTTTTTCGTTTTCCATTAAATAACATATTACATAAATAAAGTCCAAGCATGAGTAAATACAAATAATCAAGCTAATGTGTCTGGTAGTTTACACGAGACGTCCATGTTCCGAGTGACGTATTATTGATTTGACATTTAAAATAAATAAACGTTACATGCCTCGTAAATTAGTACTTGACTTTCATTCCTCCGAAAATGGATGAAAAAGCACTGATGATTTTGTAGAAGGAAACATTGCAGACGTTAAAAAGAAAATCTTGTATGTCATTCGGCTCACAAGATATTTTTGTGATTCACTCCATTAATGTAGCTCAGCACAAATGATTCACTTCAGCTCAGCCCTAATGATACAAATAATTTTTTTTTTAATGGGCATGTGATTTTGCGACTTTTTGCTCTTATTGTAGTATAACATACATGGGTTCGTTCAGCAAGATTGAACGGTGTGAATTTTCTCTTCTTTTAACAAATCTTCTGAAAAACGAACTGAAAAATAAATAGGACCTACGTTGTCGAAACTTACTGAATTTTACTTGCTTGACATGCGCCCGACATTAGCAAAATTAGGGAAATTTAAGGGAAGTTGTGATATATAAAATAAACGAAAAATTTGTGAAACGTCTAATTTATTCTAAGAAAATCGTTCCATTCTCGACCTGGAACTCACGAGGGGAAACAGCACGGCAGAGAAACCCTCGATCTAACATTCCTCAAAAATAAAAACAAACTGTGTCATTTTAATAAATAATTGTGAGCCAATAAAAATTTAAATTAGGTAACGTCCTTGTTCTTGTGCTAAAATTTTAATTCCACACACTACATTCAATGAACACGACCTATATTCAATACTGAAGAGTTTTTTGTGACTTAGCCAGTCTGCCAGCAGGTACTGAGGTCCCGTTGGGGAGGCTTCTCCGCTATAGTTGTTATTTTGAGCCAATATCTCTAGATTGATTATTTCAATTTGTTTGTTAGGATAATCGCTCGTGAGGGTAGGAAAGTGTTAGTAGAATCAACAAGGCCCTAATGTACGCTCTGAATACCAAAAACTAAAATCCCAGCACAAAAGACAGCACATAATTTCTTAAGTTTAAATTTTCCTTTTTATCTGCGTTGCTCACAGCAGGAAACGATTTTTGTTAAATACATGAACAATGCACATGTTATAAAAAATGTTGTAAACAGAGAAAAAAAATATAAAAATGAAAAAAATTATACCTTCTTGTGAAAATTCAACTCTCAAAACAAAATAACATTTATTCAACTGACCTGTGAATGCGCCTTATGACATACAAACTAATCACAAATTGGATTGAACAATCAGTTTAATACAAAATAAAAACTGGATAATGAACAATGGCAGAGAACCTCCTTTACTAGTCTCTCGTTTCCTATCTCCCCTTCGGTACTTTCGTTTTTCTGTGGCGCGTCCCCATTCCCAAAAACTTCACAGCGTAACATGGTTGCAACATTTACCATTTCGTCGGATCATATGAAAATTGCCTAGGTCCAATTTTTTTCAAAATTAAGATTTTAGTGCAGTCTTGTAAGAAACTCAATAATCTATGATCCAACAAAATATGTGGGCGATGAATTGTTTGATGGAGCCACACAACCATGACAAGAAATTTGCACAAGTCCGTCGTCGTCTTAAGATAGAGTGAAACTTGCGTCCAATCTTTTTTGTGCATTCTTGTCGGTGATTTGTATCATGTAGTTTATCTTCAAAAAAGTTTATTGCGCCTCCTGTAAAATTTACTTTTTTGGACTTAGGCAATTTTCATATGATGCCGACGATTTGCTTTTCTATAGGAAACGTTCTAAAAAGTTAAGATTTGAAGAAATAATATTTCAAATAGGTGGTTTTCCTCATTATAGATACTCCTTCAATAATTTTAAATACTATATGTGAGTGAGTGTCTCATTTCCAAGATTGTTATTTTCATACCTGTCGCTAAATTGTCAAATTTTCAAAAAAAATATGTTATTTTATTTTATTTTTTCTTGGGACATGCTTAGTATTGCTGTATCATTTCAGCCCGTATGATCGACTCTTGTTTGCCCGGTGAGTGGAATATTCGACAAGTTTGACCCTCTAAGTATAATCTAGGCGGCGAATTATTAATCGGCGCTAACAGAGATTTCTAGTAAAGAATTCTCGAGAAAATTAGAGAAGGTTCATCAAAAAGAAGCATCAAATTCTTGCAGGTGTTTCCGGAATCAATTCCTAACAGCAAACTCGACTCTTGAATCCTCGCACAGGATTGCAAGGTGGATGTTTTCACATTCACCAGTTCGTTGGACCAACCATTTCGTGTAGATTTGAGCGTTATCATGCAGATGAATAATACCATTCGTGAGGTTTATTCTTGATGACGACACGGAAAGGTTTCAAGGAATCTCAAAATCGCTTAGAGTTGATAATAACATTCCAGGTGCTCTAATATCTAAGACCAGCATACTTTGGTTATTGAACACTACAACAGTTCTTATTACTTCTCTTGCCCAAAATTGAAGCCGCTTTTACTCTAGATTCAGTAAGTTGCACATACTTCAATTGCATGCTCTGACGTTTGGATTCTAAAGAAAATACAAAAATAAATGAGAGTTTATTTTTTCGGATGTTCCATCTAAAGACGCGTTTCAATCTTTTGGATCTCATCGTTTGAGCTCTTGCTTGTCGTGATCAGTGTGAAAAGGCATTCAAGATGTTTTTGATAGCGCATCAAATTCTGTAATGATAGGGCGAACACAAACTCTGCTATGTGTAATCATCTGTCCATAACGTTCTCTAGGTGTTCCACTCTCCAACTTTCTCTGCCGATTCAGGCATTCTTTTGCAAGCCTCTATCTCTTCGTATACTATACGTCTTCAGCTGTGCTGCGCCTTCTACTCCTCTCTGACTTCCAACAATTATTTACTCGTATCTGTCATTCTTTGTCCATGTCCGATTCAAATCAGTTATTGGTTCGAAGATGGTTGGATTTTTTTTTGGTGCATCGTTTCATTTCTCGTCCCTTATTTAATTCCAGGTTTCGTCGTTTTGCTGGATGACCATGTATCCCATATGTCTGCATTTACTTTGGCACCCCTCAAGTGCTTGTTCCAACTTAATCCTATAAAGGTTGGTGATCGGCAGCATCCCTGTATGTTCCTTCCAGGTATAAAGTTTCGTTTTCAGCAGATAGTGGTCATTACCACAACTCTGCTGGGCCCGTATCCTCGTAACCGGGGATTGGGGAACTGCGTTCTCTCAAGAGAACGATCGCTCTGTCTTTGTCAGTATTATGAACATAACAATATGGGTGACTAAGACAGAGCAATCGTTCTCTTGAGAGAACGCTGTTTCCCGATGATGAGAATATGGGCCCAGGTCGT